AATAATGCTTCCTCCAGTGAAAAAGTTGTCCTGTCTGAATCAGGAGAGAAATCTGCACACATCAAGCACCGAAACAGTCCAAAAACGTCTTAATGCTGGATTAGTTTCAGCTTTTGTCTTCTCCAGATGTTAACTGATGGACTGGAGTGCTGTGGATTACTTGTGGATTATTGTGATGTTTTTATCAGCTGTTTGGACTCTCATTCTGACGGCACCCATTCACTGCAGAGCATCCATTGCTGAGACAGTGATGGAATGTCTGACGTGTTTATTAGTTCATAGTAGGCTGTATGCAGTAAATAGTATTTCTTCATGTGTTTGTCCTGCAGCGTGTGTGAAGGAGGTTGAGCAGGTGTGTGAAAACTCCTCTGAGGAACATCTACAGCCCTTCAAGGACAAGATGGAGACCTTCGTCAGCACTGGTGAGTCACAGAAACATCACCATGCATGATAGCTTCAGCTGTCACAGAAATAAAGAAACACGGAGCAAACACATCCAGAATGAAAGTCCTTCAGCTCTGATGTGACTGGATGAGGATCAGGTCGCTCCGGATGTGCTGCGTGACCTTAGTGGTGCTGTGAACTCTGACTGGGTTCCTCGTTCATTCATTCATTCATTCATTCGTTCATCGTTTTTTCATTCATCATTCGTTTGTTCATTCATTTATTCATTCATCATTCGTTTGTGCATTCGTTTGTTTGTTCGTTCGTTCATTCATCATTCGTTCGTTCATTCATTCATTCATCATTCATTCCAGAATGAAAGTCCTTCAGCTCTGATGTGACTGGATGAGGATCAGGTCGCTCCGGATGTGCTGCGTGACCTTAGTGGTGCTGTGAACTCTGACTGGGTTCCTCGTTCATTCATTCATTCATTCGTTCATCGTTTTTTCATTCATCATTCGTTTGTGCATTCGTTTGTTTGTTCGTTCGTTCGTTCATTCATTCGTGCGTGCGTTCGTTCGTTCGTTCATTCATTCATCATTCGTTTGTGCGTGCGTGTGTTCGTTTGTTCATTCATCATTCGTTCATTCATTCATTCATCATTCGTTCGTGCATGCGTGTGTTCATTCGTTCATTCATTCATTCATTCATTCATTCATTCATTCATCATTCGTTCGTGCGTGCGTGTGTTCGTTTGTTCATTCATCATTCGTTCGTTCATTCATTCATTCGTTTGTGCATGCGTGTGTTCATTCGTTCATTCATCATTCGTTCGTTAGTTTTTTCATTCATCATTTGTTCATTCATTCATTCATCATTCGTTCGTTTTTTGTTCATTCGTTCATTCATCATTCATTCGTTCGTGCGTTTGTTCGTTCAATCATCATTCATTCGTTCGTGCGTTTGTTCGTTCGTTCATCCATCCATCCATCATTCGTTCGTTCATTCATTCATCATTCATTCGTTCATTAATTTAATTCATCGTTCGTTCACTCGTCCATCCATTCATTCATTCATCATTCGTTCATTCATTCATTCATCGTTCGTTCGTGCATGTGTTTGTTCGTTCATTTATCATTCGTTTGTTCATTCATTCATCATTCGTTCGTTCATTTATCATTAGTTTGTTCATTCATTCATCATTCATTCGTTCGTGCGTTTGTTCGTTCAATCATCATTCATTCGTTCGTGCGTTTGTTCGTTCGTTCTTCCATCCATCATTCGTTCGTTCATTCATTCATCATTCATTCGTTCATTAATTTAATTCATCGTTCGTTCACTCGTCCATCCATTCATTCATTCATCATTCGTTCATTCATTCATTCATCGTTCGTTCGTGCATGTGTTTGTTCGTTCATTTATCATTCGTTTGTTCATTCATTCATCATTCGTTCGTTCATTTATCATTAGTTTGTTCATTCATTCATCATTCGTTCGTTCATTCATTCATTCATCATTCGTTTGTGTTTGTTCGTTCATTCATCATTCATTCGTGCATGCATTCGTTCGTTCATTCATCATTCGTTCGTTCATTTATCATTAGTTTGTTCATTCATTCATCATTCATTCGTTCGTGCGTTTGTTCGTTCAATCATCATTCGTTCATTTGTTAATTCGTCATTCATTCGTTCGTGCGTTTGTTCATTCAATCATCATTCGTTCGTGCGTTCGTTCATTCATCATTCGTTCATTCATTCATCATTCATTCGTTCATGCGTGCGTGTGTTTGTTCGTTCATCCATCATTCGTTCGTTCATTCATTCATCGTTCATTCGTTCATTAATTGCATTCATCGTTCGTTCACTCGTCCATCCATTCGTTCATTCATCATTTGTTCATTCATTCATTCATCGTTCGTTCGTGCATGTGTTCGTTCGTTCATTTATCATTTGTTTGTTCATTCATTCATCATTCGTTCGTTCATTTATCATTCGTTCGTTCATTCATTCGTTCATCATTCGTTCGTTCATTTATCATTCGTTTGTTCATTCATTCATCATTCGTTCGTTCATTTATCATTAGTTTGTTCATTCATTCATCATTCATTCGTTCATTAATTTAATTCATCGTTCGTTCACTCGTCCATCCATTCATTCATTCATCATTCGTTCATTCATTCATTCATCGTTCGTTCGTGCATGTGTTTGTTCGTTCATTTATCATTCGTTTGTTCATTCATTCATCATTCGTTCGTTCATTTATCATTAGTTTGTTCATTCATTCATCATTCGTTCGTTCATTTATCATTAGTTTGTTCATTCATTCATCATTCATTCGTTCGTGCGTTTGTTCGTTCAATCATCATTCATTCGTTCGTGCGTTTGTTCGTTCGTTCATCCATCCATCCATCATTCGTTCGTTCATTCATTCATCATTCATTCGTTCATTAATTTAATTCATCGTTCGTTCACTCGTCCATCCATTCATTCATTCATCATTCGTTCATTCATTCATTCATCGTTCGTTCGTGCATGTGTTTGTTCGTTCATTTATCATTCGTTTGTTCATTCATTCATCATTCGTTCGTTCATTTATCATTAGTTTGTTCATTCATTCATCATTCGTTCGTTCATTTATCATTAGTTTGTTCATTCATTCATCATTCATTCGTTCGTGCGTTTGTTCGTTCAATCATCATTCATTCGTTCGTGCGTTTGTTCGTTCGTTCATCCATCCATCCATCATTCGTTCGTTCATTCATTCATCATTCATTCGTTCATTAATTTAATTCATCGTTCGTTCACTCGTCCATCCATTCATTCATTCATCATTCGTTCATTCATTCATTCATCGTTCGTTCGTGCATGTGTTTGTTCGTTCATTTATCATTCGTTTGTTCATTCATTCATCATTCGTTCGTTCATTTATCATTAGTTTGTTCATTCATTCATCATTCGTTCGTTCATTTATCATTAGTTTGTTCATTCATTCATCATTCGTTCGTTCATTCATTCATTCATCATTCGTTTGTGTTTGTTCGTTCATTCATCATTCATTCGTGCATGCATTCGTTCGTTCATTCATCATTCGTTCGTTCATTCATTCATCATTCGTTCATGCGTGCGTGTGTTCGTTCATTCATTCTTCATTCATGCGTTCATTCATTCATTCATTCATCATTCGTCTGTTCATTCGTTCATTCATTCATTCATTCATTCATTCTCTCTAATCACCTTCTGTTTTATATGAACCTCATGAAAACATCTACAGCTCATATTTCTCTCCAAAATCAAAAGAAAGAATTATTTAAGTTCAAATTATATTTGTCATAAAGAAAATGAAGCCTATAATTAGGACAATTTTTACACATTTGCATGACAATTAAGCACATTTTCCTTTCACATTCATATTACTGTAATTTGTCTGGACTTTTTATTTTTAATGGTGATTCTCACTAGATGCTCATTACCGTAACGCAACCATTTAGTACTGATTATTTTAAATCAGCATAAATTAAAGACAGTGATGCTCTTTATATTTTGTCATTTAAAAACAGTTTCAATCCTTTAAATACCACGGGACCAGAAAATATGATCAGCCTCATGCAAAGGACCTCATACTAAAATTCATAAGACATCCAGATAGTTTCTTGTATAAAGACCTGATGAAAAATTAATAGTATACATTTCTATTATTTGGAAAATAGTTTTTTTATCAAGTTACATTATTCTATTCTACTCTATTGTATATGTATTATTTATTTATTTACTTTTAATTTTAATATATTTATTTATGTGCATAATTTTTTATTTAATTAATTATTAGTTTATTTATTTAATATTATTGTAATCAAATTTTTAGTTCATTCATCATTCATTCGTGCATGCATTCGTTCGTTCATTCATCATTCGTTCGTTCATTCATTCATCATTCGTTAATGCGTGTGTGTGTTCGTTCATTCATTCATTCATTCATTCATTCATTCATCATTCGTTCATTCGTCTGTTCGTTTGTTCATTCATTCATTCATCGTTCGTTCATTCATCTGTTCGTTCATTCATTCATTCATTCATTCATTCTCTCTAATCACCTTCTGTTTTATATGAACCTCATGAAAACATCTACAGCTCATATTTCTCTCCAAAATCAAAATAAATAATTATTTAAGTAAGTATTATATTTGTCATAAAGAAAATGAAGCCTATAATTAGGACAATTTTTACACATTTGCATGACAATTAAGCACATTTTCCTTTCACATTCATATTACTGTAATTTGTCTGGACTTTTTATTTTTAATGGTGATTCTCACTAGATGCTCATTACCGTAACGCAACCATTTAGTACTGATTATTTTAAATCAGCATAAATTAAAGACAGTGATGCTCTTTATATTTTGTCATTTAAAAACAGTTTCAATCCTTTAAATACCACGGGACCAGAAAATATGATCAGCCTCATGCAAAGGACCTCATACTAAAAATTCATAAGACATCCAGATAGTTTCTTGTATAAAGACCTGATGAAAAATTAATAGTATACATTTCTATTATTTGGAAAATAGTTTTTTATCAAGTTACATTATTCTATTCTACTCTATTGTACATGTATTATTTATTTATTTACTTTTAATATATTTATTTATGTGCATCAATTTTCCACGGGACCAGAAAATATGATCAGCCTCATGCAAAGGACCTCATACTAAAATTCATAAGACATCCAGATAGTTTCTTGTATAGAGACCAAACTGATGAAAAATTAATATTATACATTTCTATTATTTGGAAAATAGTTTTTTTATCAAGTTACATTATTCTATTCTACTCTATTGTATATGTATTATTTATTTATTTACTTTTAATTTTAATATATTTATTTATGTGCATAATTTTTTATTTAATTAATTATTAGTTTATTTATTTAATATTATTGTAATCAAATTTTTATTAGTTACATAAGGTGGGGCAAGGTCATTGAGAGTTTTAAAAACAAACAATAAAATTTTAAAATCAACTCTAAAAGAAACTGGAAGCCAGTGGAGCGAATAAAGAATTGGGGTGATGTGCTCACGTTTGCGCATGTTAGTTAAAAGACGGACTGCTGCATTCTGCACCAGCTGAAGGCGATTGAGGGACGACTGTGAGACACCAACATAAAGTGCATTACAATAATCTAATCTTGAACTGATAAAAGCATGAATAGCTTTTTCTAGGTCAGAGTGATTCAAAAATGGTTTGACCTTGGCCGAAAGATGTAGCTGAAAAAAACTAGCTTTAACCACGCTGTCAATTTGTTTATCAAATTTCAGGCTACTATCAAAAGTCACACAGAGATTTCTGACAGCTGGTCTAAGCTTTGAAGTCAGCGCATCAAAGTCAGAAGTTACAGATTCTCCAAATAAAATATATTCAGTTTTTTTATTTTATTTAGGTGAATTAAATTTTGCTCTAACCATAGTTTAATGTCATGAATGCAATCAATTAGCGACCCAACTGCGTCAGCATTTTTTGGTCTCATAGGCAAGTAAATTTGCAAATCATCAGCATAGCAGTGAAAAGCTATATTATGCCTGGCTATAATGGACCCGAGAGGCAGCATGTAAAGTGAAAATAAAACTGGTCCGAGAATAGAGCCTTGTGGCACCCCGCAAGAGAGAGAAGTGGTGGAGGAGGATGAGTCCCCAATCACTACAGAAAAGGTACTATTGGTCAAATATGACGAGAACCGCTGAAGTGCGGTACTCCGAATGCCAACAGAGTGATTAAGGCGAGACAGAAGGACTTCATGGTCCACTGTATCAAAGCCCGCCGTGAGATCAAGTAGCAATAGAATAACAGGGCACTTAGCGTCAACAAACCGAGAAATATCATTGTGCACCTTTAACAGTGCAGAGCAACTATAATAAATACATTTATTTATTTATTTACAACATGAAATTAGATCAATAATTCAATAAATACAATTATTCTTAGGCTTATTTTTTTTAAACCGTTGTTTATTTAAATTTATTTATTCATTCATTCATTCTTTGGCTTATTTATTAAACCATTGTGTATGTGTTTATTTATATTTAATAAGTAAATAAAAACAATAAAAACCTTTACAATAAATAATAAAAAAATTAATGTATTTATTTATTTAAAACATGAAATTAGATCAATAATTCAATAAATAAAATTATTCTAAGGCTTATTTTTTAAACCATTGTTTATGTGTGTATTTATATTTAATAAGTAAATAAAAACCGTAAAAAATTACAATAAATACTAAATACATTTATTTATTTATTTATTTAAAACAAGAAATTAGATCAATAATACAATTAAAAAATCCTTCTTAGGCTTATTTAACCATTATTTAATAAGCAAATCATTTCATAATGAACCCGAATCTGAGGCTCTTTACAGAGCGCTGCGGCGCGAGTCGATTTTAAAGGCTGGATTTATTGTCCCGCTCAGTGTGCAGGTCCCATAACTTTCTAGTTAGCCACTACTGGTTTCATGTTTACAGACAGAGCTGAGGAGAAAATTCACACATCGCGCTCGACACGCACAAACAGCAGAGACCGCAGGCGCCAGTCCACCCCTGCTGAGACCAACGCCACTGGTCACACACACACACACACACACACACACACACAGAGCGCTGTTCACACTCGCCCCCACCGGAGACCCCCAACACTCGCCTTTGAACAGTTTTGGGGCGACTTCCCCTTCTTAAATCTCAGGAGTGGGAAAGGTCCCCCATCACAGTCAAAAAAAAGGGGATGAATCTGGAAAATGCAATAAATCTGAGATCATAGGCGCGCTCTGGCCTGAGAAAAGGCCGCCGTGAGATCAAGTAGCATTAGAATAACAGGGCACTTAGCGTCAACAAACCGAGCAATATCGTTGTGCACCTTTAACAGTGCAGAGCAACTATAATAAATACATTTATTTATTTATTTATATTAACATATTCATTTATGTTATTCACTAATTATTTTTAAATAATTTTTTAGAAATTAAAAATGTATCTTAATCATTTTTTTTATTATTTATTTCTATATTTTTACTTGCACTTTTTTCCCCATGGATCCCATAATACTCCCCTGTGGCCCCCTAAATAAGATATCATTATTTATTTTGTATTATATAGATATTTTTATCGTTCTTTTCAAGAGTTGGATTGGATCTGGTGTCGAGTTATTATTCTAGTGCTTTATATGGTCATTAATTCTTCTGATTATCAGCTTGTGTTTGTGACCGCAGAGATTGACCGTGAGAAAGCGCTGTAGATTGACGGGTTTAATATCATTATACGTGTGGTTTACAGCGGGGATCAGTACGACGTGTTGTTTGCGGCGGCACTTCATAATGAACCCGAATCTGAGGCTCTTTACAGAGTCGATTTTAAAGGCTGGATTTATTGTCCCGCTCAGTGTGCAGGTCCCATAACTTTCTAGTTATTTAACATCTCTGTTGTTTCTGGAGACTTCTGTTTCTCTATGAAAGAGATCTCAGCAGTGTCTCCAGATGTGCTCGCATTTGAGTTTGCAATCAAAAGTTCTCGATATGAAAATTATTTTTAAGCAACAGAATCTCAAAACCTCTTACAAACATTTCCAGCTCATCTATCACCCCTAAATAAAAGGTATTTTATATATATATGTATTATTTCAGTGTGAAATAAATAATGATATATTAGGTCCGCAAGAGAGTTCTAGGGGGTCCGTGGAAAAGTTTAGAGAAAAACAGCATAAAAAAATGTAGAAATAAATAAATAATAAAAATAAGATTACAATAAATTCTTAATTATTTTATAATAATTATTAGATAATAAAAACATAAATAGTAAAATCTAAGTAAATCTAAATAATAAATATTATTAATCTAATAATAAATTAGATTAAATAAGTTAATAAACAAATAAATTAATAAAGAATTAAATACAAATTAATAAATAGATAAAAATTGATTAAATGAAAAAGTAAATAAATAATACACTGAGTAGAATAGAATAATGTAACTTGATAAAAATAAAAAAATTCCCAAAATAATAAACATAGCTCTGTATAGGGACTCATTTGGGTCTGTTTTTGTTTTAGGAGAAACATCAGAGATACAGTGAGAAATATTTGAGTTCATATTGAGATATCTGATTTATAATGTCAGACTTTATGTATCTTGGCTCATCTGAGCACAGTTTGAGTGTTATTTTAGTGTCAATGATGTATTATAGTTTTTGTAAATATTTTGAATTAGATTTTATTTGTATGTTTTCTGTTTTCACTTTAATTTAAGTTAAAGTTTTAGTAATTTTGTTGTGTGTTTTTGTCATTTTTATTAGTTTTTGTTTTTTTAATACATGTATATATCTAGATCGTTTATTTCGCTTTTGTTATTTTAGTACTTCAGATTAAACTAAATGTAAATGAGACATGTTGCCAAATAGCTGAAATAGAAGTTTAATTTTCTTTTCAATATTTATTGTATTTCAAGTAACATTTATTTTATTTCTTTTATGGTTTTTATGGTTAAAACATCATGAGAAGCTGGAGCAAGGGTCTCATTGATCTCATTGAAGGAATAATGAAAATAAGTTAAAGATCTCTTGTGTTTTCATTCCTGTGATGATCTGATGTGCAGCTCTTTTCTCTGTTGTGGATGATTTGTGGTTATGTTGTCGTTCGCAGCACAATCAGAGTACGAGACTGAAGACGAGCGGCTGCAGGCGGCACAGGAGAGGTTAGAAACACCAGCAGATGATGTGTGATAATACAGACAGCATCATGACTAATGAGATCTAATCAGACAGCCTTCTGAAGTGCTCTAGCTTTGCACAAACAGATACTGGTCTATTATTCATTAGACTGAATTATTTCTTTGATATTTTTCAGTATTGAATGAAATGTACATGTTTTTATTGTTTCTGAAAGAGTCTCTTGTGCTCACCGAGGCTGCACTTATTTGATCAAAAATACAGTAAAAATGGTGAAATATTATTGCAATCTAAAACAGCTGTTTTCTATGTGAATATCTGTTAAAATATAATTTATTTCTGTGATCAAAGCTGTATTTTCAGCATCATTACTCCAGTATTCAGTGTCACATGATCTTCAGAAATCATTCTGATTTGCTGCTCAAGAAACATTTCTGATTATAATCAATGCTGAAAACATTAATATTTTTGTGGAAACTGTGCTGCATTTGATTTTTCAGGATTCACAGATGAATAGAAAGTTCAAAAGAACAGCATTTATTTGCAATAGAAATCCTCTGTAACATTATAAATGATCGATTGAGTGTGTATTAATCTTACTGAGCCCAAACTCGTGAGCGGTTGTGTGTTTATTAATGATATTTTGGTGCGGTTGTGAGTGCATTCTGGGATTGTTTTCTGTGTGAGGAGCAGGTGTCTGTGAAGGACAGGAGCAGGCGTGAGTTTGGTGCTCTGCAGACTCTCTCTTATCGTGTGTGTTCAGTAACTCTGCACTGTTTGTGCTGATTTATGTGCAAGCTTCGGCTGCCAGATGCTGCACGATGGAAAATATCTGGAACTTTTCATAGAGGGGAAAAGGACAAACAAAGCATATTGATTATTTTTCCTTGTTTAGATTTGAGAGTTTTTTTGTAACCTGAAACAAAACAAAGCGAAGTGAAACACACACACACGCACACACACTCACACACACACACACACGGCAGCTCGAGAGTCGCTTCATTTCCCTTTACTTTGCTCCTGGAGAAGGAGCAGGAGCAGCAGTAAGTCTCAGAGTTCCCATGAACGCACCTCGTTAAAGTGATGGATTCGGGCCGCGGGCGATCGTCCGGACCTGGGTGGGCATCCACATGTGTCCCGACCCGAGGGAGTCACCTTTCCACGCTCGTCCTCTGATATTTTTATATTTTTTGTGTCCCACAATCATGAAAAACCTCGAATTATCAGGGAATTTTAAAGTTGAGAGGAATTTTTCCAATGACTTATTGATTGATTGATGTTCTCAGCTATATTTAAGTAATTTATAATTTATAAATAATTTAATAATTTATAATTAATATTTTTTTAATTTCATTTTTATTGTCATATTTTTAACTTTATCCTTTCATTTTATAATTTTATTTTTATAATTGTATTTATATTTTAATTTTTTTAATTGCTGTAATGTATTTGTTTGGAATTGGAATTATTTTTTTACTGCCATCAGGAGATTGATGAATCTAGTATTTTTATTTTATTTTTTATTTTTTTATTTATTGATATTTATTTATTTTTTATTTTATTTTTTTTCAGTTTGTGACCGCTGTAATATATCCGTCCTGCTGTCAGGAGCTTGATGAATCTGTGTCGTACAGCACTGATCCGCACCTGAGCGCTCCTGACGTGTTTGTGTTTAACGCTCCATCGAGTTTCTCCTCGGTTCATGTCATGTGTGATCCGTCACACGCGTGACCGTTAATCTCGCCGCTCCACTTGATTTGCGGCCACTGAACGTGATTTTCTGCCACTAACGGCACATTGTGTTTAAGTTTCTTGTCACGCTGTTTTCCCCTGAATGGGAGTAAATCTTCTGATTTATAACAAGAAAAATAGTTCATTATAATGAGATCCTTGGCAAAAACTCTGTTAGTTTTAAACCAGTCAAATAAGAAACCTCCTAGAAACAAGTTTTAGTTGATCCTATAGGATCTTATTTGTTTCTTAGAGTTTTATATTGAGTTACGGGTCAAAGGGTTTAAGCATAAAAACAATAAGTGTAATATTGCTTTAAATTGTTGTTGTTTTTCCCAAAAAAATTTAAAAAGTTTTCTGTTTAATTTAATTGCAATTTTGTTTTTGTTTTTCCGAGCAAAAAATAAATATCATACATTTTTCCCTGATTTACAGAAGAGACCCACTAAAATGTCATTCAGTGTAACAATCTTGTCAGGCATATTTACAACAAAAATAAATTTGACACATTCAAAAACTAATTACTTTAACCCCAAATACTAATTAGTTGTAATTTTACATTTTTAAAATGTGCCACTATCCTAGGTTTTGCCCATTTGTCAGCAATAATTTTTTACTCATTTAAAACACAATAAAATTTAATATGCTCACTCATTCTTTTATATATTTTAATATGTACACGTCAGAATAAGCATGTTGTTTGAATTTTGACATAAATATAAGTGTTACACTGAATGACAATGTAACATTATTTCAACCAAATTGTAACATTGTATCCTCCAAAAACTTATTTGGAACCTTCAAAGTAGACACTTTAGTTACATTTAATGTGCTTTCTATGGACATAAAACCACTTTTGTACATTTCTTTTGATGCGGACATCTTAACGCATTTGACCCTTACACACTTTTTTTTGCATTTTATGCTCCAGAAAACCAAACATTTTAATGTTCCTATAATATTACACATAAATGTAAAAATAAAGTTTTATAACCCAAATGTATTACCTACAAATATGCTTGTTTGACTGTAAAATATGGCATCTTCTGATTCTCTCGTGAGGGCAGATATCATGTTGACTGACTTTCCCTGTTTTTCGTGTAGTTTCCAGGAGATGGTGATGTACTTCGGGCTCAGACCCAAGTCTGGAGAGAAGGAGGTTTCTCCAAGCTTCATCTTCATGCTATGGTACGAGTTCTGCAATGATTTCAAGAGCACCTGGAACCGAGAGAATAAAAGCATCTCCAAAGAGAGGTGAGGACCATCCATCTCACAATGAAGTTTAGAGACTAAAGCCGTGTTTGGACCCGTTTAGAGCAATAGTTCAGCCAAAAATAAAAATGTGCTGTAAATGCGCTCACCCTCAGATCATCAGAGATCAGGATGAGTTTGTTTCTTCATCAGCATTGCATCAGTGTCTCACTGCAAGTGAATGGGTGCCGTCAGAATGAGAGTCCAAACAGCTGATAAAAACATCACAATAATCCACAGTCCATCTGTTCACATCTGGAGAAGACAAATCTAGTCTTTGATGCTCTTCTTATTTTTAATTGTCCACACAATTCGTTTGGCAGCGTCTCTGATTTCAGTGAAGCTTTTACAGATCTAACCTACAGCCAATATTCAGTTCTCACTTAGAAATGCACAAAAAATCCCTCTTATTAGTCTCTGTCGCTCTTGTTTTTCAGTCGAAATATCCAAACATTTACTTGATGTTTTGCAGAAATGCCACGTTTTAGAGAAGATATCATCCATCAGTTGGGTTTATTTTTGTTTCTGCGTACTGTTTTCTCATTTTAAGTATAAATCTAACGAACCTTAGTGAAGTTTAAAAACAAAAACAGCTTGTATAACAGGAAAAGTTGACTCAGAATGTTCATCTGCGGTCATCAGAAGAAACCCGGAAATAAATGATGACAGAATTATATTTTTGCGCTCTTTTATTTTAGACTCAAAGAAGCTCAGCAGACCGTCCAGAAAATCACAGCTGAGAAGAAAGTGGAGACGAAGAAGACCAACGCAAACAGTCTGGTGAGAAAACACACAAGCACACAGCTTTATTACATTCACAACACACGCTCTATAATGAGAATAATTCTATTGCATGTGTTCATGCTGATGATGCTTTGAATGAAGCCGGCAGTGAAATCCAGGGTTTTATTTATTTATTTTAATACAATTTACCAAAACAAATAAACTGAAAGTATTAGGATTTTTAAATATTTAAAACATTATGGTATAAAATGAATGCAAAATCATTTCTATGACCAATCAAATGAAAGTAAATGAGTGTTATTAATCACTGACAATTTTTAGGTGATTTTTTGACTGTTTTTGACTATTTTTAGCTGCATTTTTTTTTTTTTTTCTGCTACACACACACTCTCACACACACACACACACACACACACACAGGAATAATGCAGAGTTTAATCATTTTCTCACCAAAAACAACACAAATATCACTTCTGAAGGAGAGAATCATTTAAAATGCACACAATTTTGAGCATAAAAACATATTTGAAACAAATGACAGCTACCCGTGTACTAAAACGGACTATTATTGTGGAAGTGGATTGAATTGTGCTTTCAGATCCTGATATTACAGGTTTATTGAATTATCAGTCATTAAGTTGGATTCCCATGAATGCATGAACTGATCAGATGTGTAGCTTGAATGCAATGCTTTGGACAAAAGCCTCGACCAAATGCATGAAACTTTGTAAAACCCTGTTTGACAGAAAGAGCGACTGCGAAAGAAAGAAGCCGGCGTGTCGTCCAGCTGAGACAGAAACAGATGCACGCTGTTTGAGTTCGTTCAGAGGATCTGCTGAGGATCTGAAGGATCGTTTCAGATCACTTCATCATCAGATATACCAGAAAACAGTGTGTGGAGCCACTTCAGCACGAGAGAACCGTCCTATTAAACATATGCTAGAAACATCTGACATCAATATATCTATCAGAATCAGCAGTGCCTCATATTCATCAAACAGGGCCTCATTTATATGATCTGTGTTTGGACTTGAATGGCGTCACTCGCTTCTGCCTCGGTGTTTCACCACATTTTTTACTTTTGCCAAAATGAAGCACTTTTACACTCCTCACTCGTGGAGCCTATGCAATATCCTCCGTTTCAAAAGAGAAATGTGCAAATCATATCCATGCATTAAATGTGAGAAAACTACTGATGTATGTTATGATGAGGAACGAATCATATTTACCCTACAGTGAGTGTGCGACTACATCTTCATGCGTAAATGAGTGAGTCAAAGTCCTGTTTATTCACAGAACGAAGGTTTTATTGAGGGATATAATGTTGTGAGGATGTCAGAAAATTATAATGTTTCCCTGTTGGTTTATGTGTAATGAATTCTGTAATTTATCCAGTTATTTCAGGCCCAGATGTGTTGGAAACCTCTTGGAACATTAATACAGTGTCAGATTTTATTGACATTTTTAAATTAATTTCCTGTGACAACATGTACATTTATTAGGTGCAATAAACAGACATCAGCGTCTGCAAAATGCAAAACTAAGAAAATGTGTCTTCCTATTTCTTAAAAAGTATTTACATTAAAATCAAAATCACATTTTTAAAAACCTTGGATTATAATAGAAAATAAATGATGCTTTCGTAATCACCTTGTTCTGTTTTCAAAGAGTTATTCAGTTTTTGATGCATTAGAATTGTTTCCTCTAAAGCAAAACGTCTTATTTTAAATGCTCAATGTTTGATTTTTACTCACTTCATGAACTTACTGTCTTGTAAATGATCCAACAAGCAAATCAAAACATGTACTTTATAGATTATATATGAGGAACAATGCGTTTAAATGAATGAAGTTTCTGAAATAACCAAATCTTTCACTGTTTTTCCTCTACGGCTGATATTATAAATAGACGAATAGCATGAAGAAACTCGCAGCAATCCAATAGAACAGTGTCTCATAAAGTCGTTCCGCATAGTGGACACTATCAGTCCTCAAACTCCCGTAATTCTAGATTTGGAGATGAATGAACGATGCTCTTCTGCTTCTGTCACCATTGCAGCATAGAGTTCAGGACAGATTTCATGTAGAGTTGCCCTGGAAGCTCTCTAGCATACGAGTAGCTGATAAATAATATGTGCATGAATGTGCATTCTCTCAACAGCAAGATCCAGAAGCCTTAAGACCAAAAATGTAGGATAACCTAAATAAATAAATTGAAAACATTAGGATTTTTAAAAGTGAAATGAGTGATCATTTGACATTTTTGTGCTTTTTTGGTAGATTTTCACTGGTGTTCCTGCAACTGATCTTGGTTTATAAACGTATAAATACTTCATGCGTCATCTGTTAATTAACGAGCGCAAAAAAATGCATGTTTAATAAGCATAAAAGAATATTTAAATATTGTTTGAAACGATGACAACTACCCGCATTCACTACTAGTCAAAATTTGCATTGGGAAGTATTATTATTTTGTTAAAGTATTAGAGCTTTAAATAATTGTGGTGCAAAATTAATGCAAAATTATTTCTGTGACCAGTCAAATGAAAGTAAAGAGTGTTATTGATCATTCGATATTTTTAGGTGCTTTTTGACTATTTTTGGCCATTTACTTATTTATTTTTTAACTGGTGTTCATTAATCCTGCAGTTAAACTTTGCTTATAAATACTTCATGCATCTCTCAAATGAGCTAAAAAAAAACTGCATGTTTAATAATCATAAAACAATATTGTTTAAAACTCTAGTTTTAGATTTAAAAAGATTTCACTTTTTATGTCAACTACCCATGTGCACTACTAGTCAAAATGTATTAGGATTTTTAAATATTACAAAAAAAAAATTGTGGTACAAAATGAATGCAAAATCTTTTTTTTTTTTTATGGTTTTTGACCATTTTTAGGTGCCTTTTTTCTTCCTGCAGTTAGTTTATAAATATACAAATACTGCATGCATCTCTCAATTAATGATCTCAAAAAACTGCATGTTTAATAATCATCAAAAATATTTAAATGCTGTTTGAAACGATAGTTTTAGATGAAGTATGACATGTTTTACATCAAACTCCCACATGTAGGCCTACTGAAAGTCAAAATCTTCGGTGCTTTTTGACCATTTTTAGATGCTTTTTTTCCCAGTTCTTACTGGTGTTCAATAATCCTGCAGTTTATAAAAGTATAATTATCCCATGCATCTCTCAGTTAGGTTAGTGAGCTCATAAAACCGCATGTTTAATAATCACAATAAATGTAGATTAAAAATGACACTTTTCATGTCAACTACCCACGTGCACTACTAGTCAAAATGTAGACACATTGAACTGGATTTAGGTTCCTAAACATCTTGCTGCCAGAAAATGAGTCTGTAGACGTGCTTAAGAAGGAGTGAAAGGAGAAGCATCATCATCATCATCATCATCATCGCACATTGAATCTGTGACTAGTGTGTAACGGTGACAGATGCGTCTCTTCCGCGAGCTCCAGCAGATCAAGCGTGTCTAGTTCTCGCGTGCTCTTACTGACGCGTTGCTCTCGGGTCTAGTCCAGCTCGATGGAGACGCAGCGGCACTGTTTGACGCGCTGCACGCGCTTCTTCCGCGTCGGCGGCTGCTGGTCGGGGCAGCTGAGGGTGAAGGTCATGGTGGTGAAGCGCTTGGGTTTGCAGAACGAGCAGGACTGGAACGCACCCTCCTCTCTGCGCACGTGTCTGGGGATGTAGAAGGAGTTGCACTGTCCGTAGCAGAAGCGGTTGATGATGGTGCGGCTGACGCAGCCCTCCTCGTGGATGGTCTGTTTGAGCGGCTGCGTCTTGCACCAGTCGCGCTTCAGGTAGCGGCGCTCGGTGACATGCAGCGCCTCCTGGCTCGACTCCAGAACCTCCTCCGAGCCGCGGCTCCTGCCTCTGGAGCCCGGGGCCGCCTGCTGCTGCTGCTGCTGGTCCGACTCGTTCGGGTTGTTCTTGTCCGGGTGAGGAATCGCGCCTCGGTTCCGCTTGGATTCGGTGGGACTCGAGAGAAGAAGAACCCAGATGAAGAGCAGCGCGCACGCGATCCGAGCGGAGGAGGCCATCGGCACTGAAGAGAGAGAGAACGGCACAGCGTTCAGAAACATTCACAGCGTTCAGAAAAAAATTCAGAGTATTCGGAAACATTCAGAAACATTCAGAGCGTTCGGAAAAAATTCAGAGCATTTGGAAAAATTCAGAGCGTTCGGAAACATTCGGAAACATTCAGAGCGTTCTAAAAACATTCAGAGCGTTCGGAAACATTCGGAAACATTCAGAGCGTTCTAAAAACATTCAGAGCGTTCGGAAACATTCGGAAACATTCAGAGCGTTCTAAAAACATCCAGAAACATTCAAAGCGTTCGGAAACATTCAGAGCGGTTGGAAACATTCAGAGCGTTCAGAAACATTCAAAGAGTTCGGAAAAAATTCAGAGCATTTGGAAAAATTCAGAGCGTTAGGAAACATTCAGAAACATTCACAGTGTTGGGAAACATTCAACTACACAAACGCCTTCCGTTCAGTTATGAAAACCTAGTTCTCTGAACGTTGAAAAATGTTACATTTTAAAATGTTACAAACGTTAAGGAGGGAAAAAATCATTTTGCAAACATCATGAGAACGTTACTTTTAAATGAACATTCTGAAACATGTAGCAACAATTAAAAAATGTTAGATGAACACCCAACTTAAAGGTTTCATTCAAAATAAACAATCAATAACATTTTAGAACATTATTAAAGACCAGATAACTTTGAACAAATATTGTTGTAATGTTACTGAATGAATGTTTGTTCCTAACTTTGAGAGAAGGTTCCCTGTCCGCTGAGAGGATCTTCACATTCACTAACTCAACGTTCTGTGATGCTCCCACCAATTTATCCAATATTATGGTAGCATATATTTAATCACTGAATGATTGCCATATTCATAAACCAACCTTAAATGATGAAATGTGGTTGAAATATTGTAACTTGTTTCAATATTGAAACAATATTTAATGCTCAGTGGTTGAAGAAAGTACTTAGAAATCAATGCTGAAATATTAACAAGATATGTACACTGACCTCTACATATTAAAACATCTTCAAAAATCAATATATATAATGTATAATAATTGTATGTATGCATATATATTATTCCTATATTTTGAGATATAATGTAGATAGCTCACGTAAAATATTATGTAACATTATCCAGCCCATGTTTATTTTTTCATGCAGATCATGCAGTCAGTGATTGGGATAATTACAGTCTTACTCCAGAGAATACATGGCACCATGTCTAAACTCACAAACATTCTTCATTTTAATATTTAGACAATTATTAAAGCTGAATGACAGAATTGTGCAAAGACGCATTTCTGCATATCTACTTTATTCAAGAATGAGAGTCACGTGAAATCTAGTCATCGTTGGAGAGATCTTCAGTTAATTGTCCAGCAAGACATGATAAACTCTTACCTGAAAATATTACGACTGTTTCTGTATTATAGTTCCTGTAGCTCAAACGCAAGGCACTAACAACACTAAGGTCATGGGTTCGATTCCCAGGGAATGCATGAACCGATCACATCTATCCTGAACGCAAGTCGCTTTGGATAAAATCATCTGACCAATGCATAAATGTAAAGAAGTAAAGAACGGACACCTGCTCCAAACACACGTTCATTGATCAGTGAAGGTGTGGAGATCTCTCACCTGTCAGTGTGGATGAGCTTCTAGAGGAGATCTGTGTGAGGAGAGGAGCTGCGATCCGTCCCATAGACACACACACACACACACACACACACACACACACACTGAGCTCCTGCTGTCTTATGACTGGTTTTGTGGTCCAGGGTCACACACACACACACACACACACTGTGATTTTTAATGTATTTTAAAGAAATCTCTGCATTTATTTGATAAAAAAAATACAGTAATATTGTGAAAAATTATTACCATTTAAAATAATGGTTTTCTATTTTAATATATTTTAAAATGTAATTTATTTCTGTGATCAAAGCTGTATTTTCAGCATCATTACTCCAGTCTTCAGTGTCACATGATCTTCAGAAATCATTCTAATATGCTGATTCATTATCAGTGCTGGAAACAGTTGGAAAAATATTTTTGTATTCACGTTGGTTTCATACATGTCTGAAAATATTCATACTATTTTCTACAAACAGCTGATTTAATGACTTAAAAATATGTATTATTTATTTTAGTGATTTCTTTAAAAAAATATTTTTTCGAACTTATGTTTAAAAGTAAAATCTTTGAGTAATGATAATTAAGAAGTTTTATTTAACCTGAACAAACCTTTTCTCAAATAAAATTGGCGTCGCGCTTTTAAACGCGTCACGTGACACGTGAAACCCAACGGACGACGTCCAGAAGGCGCGAATATTTCACAGCAACGGCTGCTTTAGTTTTACACAAAACCAAAAGAATATATCATATGAGTCATATGAACTGTTTTTATGACACTTTTATTGTACTTTATTGTCAAAGTGTCCATCCACTGAGTGACTGGG